GGCCCAAAAGAATTAATTAAATTGTTAGAGCAATTGATTACGAATTGGGCCTAAAAAGGGGTTAAAATTATAATTTGGATTCTAAGCCCAACTTTTATGTCATCTCGTAGGAAATATTTTTGTGATCGCGTCGGTTCAGACGGCTCGCGAATCGGAGTTATGGAGCTCATGTTATGACCATTTAATCAGGTATTTTGGGCCCGGAGCCCAAACCACTAGTATTGGAATTAATAGATAAAACCTAAACTAATTTCAGCCGTAGGATCGTTATCTTCTTTCTTCTTCTTTCTTTCTTTCTTCTTCTTCTTCTTTCTTTCTTCTTCTTCTTCACTTCGGTCGCCCTTCCCCAGCCATCGCCGCAGCTTCTCCTTCGCCGGAAGTCCGTCGCCCACTCCCAGTTCCAGCGCCGCCAATCGCCGCTGCTTCCTTCGTCGGTCATCCTCGCCATCGAGCTGCAGGGCCGCTGTTTCGCCTTCGCCGGAAGTCCGTCGCTCATCACCGTCGAGCGCCGCCAGTCGCCTCCAGCCGCCGTCGCCCTTAGCTCAGGTCAGTCTCTTCTTCATCTTCCTCGCAATTTCCTCTGCAATTGGACCTCTGGAGCAGCGCCACGCCGGGTCACCACCTTCGCCGGCGGTCGCTGCGACTCACCGGGCTGATTCATCGCCGGTTCACCGTTGTTGCAGCTAGGGATTTCGCCGGACAGAGGCTATCACCGTAGCTGCTCCTCTGTTCGTGATTTCTGGGAGCTGCTGCCGCCTCGCCACTGTCGCCGGCGTCCGTCACCGTCGCCGCATCCAGCCGCTGCCCCGGATTGATATCGCCGGCGGATTAACCTCCACGCCGGATTGATTGGTCGATTTCGTATTTTGACTCAATTTGACCCGTTCGTTTGATTTCGTTGATTTGTCTTCCGTTCGAGCTATCGATTCGATTTCGGCGTAATCCAGGTCCGTACTATGAAGTTAATAGCATTTAGAATAGATTTAATGGTTTGGATCGTTATATGTGTTTATGCTATAATTTGG